AATAGATGATTCATAGAAGCATCTCATTATTGAGTTAGTATGCATGATCATCTAGAGAAAATTACCTAAGCAACCCTTTTATTTGCTTGATTTCATTGCTTGCATTGTTTGTTTCTTTCTTGCATAGTAGCTTAAGACCACGAATTAGGGCACCTCAACCCACTTTTTTAGTAGCTTAAGATCTTTTGGAACACAACCCTAGGATATCCTAGGAATTTATCATTTGTTTACTACATTAAGCTTTTGGTGCCATTGCTGGAGATTTTTGTATTATTTGAAAGAAACTAACCTCTTGTGTTCGATTTTCATAAAAAGAAAATATGACCCTCTATTTGGTTTTAAATTGTAAGATTCGAACTCGAGGAAGCCATAACAAGCCATCCAAGGACGTGATACCAAAAATAAGGAATAAAGATGGGCCAAAAAGCATCAAAGGTCGAAGCAAGCAACATCAATCTTCTTTCACTACGTTACTGTCAACAAAAGGGTTCCTGTTGAGTGGAATAGAGAAGCAATGGGTCTAGAGGATGCGAAGCTACTAAGAGAGACGTATGGATCACCCTAATATAGAGGAGATAGTGCTAGATTTTGACTTTCTCAACACAAGATGCCAGATTAAGTAAGAGCTTCCTAGGAGCATTGATGCTAGCATCAAAGACGAAGGGCCAAAACAACTGCTAGAAGATGTTCAAATCATCGAGGATCGTCCCGAAGATGATAAAGGAAGATCAAATGAGATGAGTGAAGGTTTTGAAGAGATCAAGGTGCAACAAGGGATTATGGAGCATAAAGATTTCGTGGACCATGGAGAAGAGGAAGATCATCTCAATGCCAACACACTAGACGAGAAAGAAGATGGAGAGATCATGGACCATGGAGAGGAGGATCAACATGAGGCCAATGAATAAGAAGAAGAGTTTATAACTCAATACTTGGAAGAAGAAGGCAGGAGACCCCCTCAAGAAGATGCAAGGGACGAAGAAAGCTACATAGAACTCGATGAAAGCATCCTATAAGACATAGAAGCCATGATCAAACATCCTTAACCTATTCAAGAAGAGAAGAATTATCAAACTATCAAGGAGCCTCAAGAAGAAGATCGTCTGGAGACCAACAAATTTGATGATGAAGATGTTGAGCTGACAACTTTTGAAGAAGGAAAAGACGAGATACAACCCCTAGGAGTAGCAATAGAGGGAAGAAGGTTGCAGTATTGAAGAACGTACACTAATCCAAACCTTTTTGGATTCATGGAAAGATGTTGAAGGGTTTTCACCTCTTTAAGGATTTAAACAATTCTTACGTCTAAAGCCGAATTGATAGCTGTGGGAAGAGATTTCTGTAGGACTTGAGCAACGAGGTGCTCGACAGTGGTAGCAGAAAGAGAGCTACCAGCAGCATCAATTGCCTGCGTAGCATAGGCAGGCGGACCAGCCAGGGCAACAGCTTCGCGAGGAGGACGATCGGTACGTCTAGGGGCCTGCTCGGATCGAATAGGTGTGAGCCCAGCAGCTTGATTCTTTTTCAATGTCCGACAATCACTAATGATGTGCCCATCCCGTTTACAATACACACAGAAGTTCCGTTTGCGGCAAAGCTTCTGAACGTGACCTTTCTCTTCACAATACAGACACTGGAGCTATGTGGTTGGGATCCTTCGCTGAAATTGGGCACGATTGACGGCATATGCTGAATCAGCCTGTTATGGGTGTGACTTGACGCTACACACCGCCTCCCTGGCACCGGGCCGCACGTCAAGCCTTTCTTGAGTGCGAAGCCGGGTTTCCTCCTGTATGAGATGTCCAATGACCCAGTCGAACTTCAGATTATCTCGGTTGAGAAGGTTGGCCCTAACCGACTCAAATTCGGGATGCAATTTCATAAGAAACTGCATTAACCGAGAGTGAGTGCGCTCCTCCTTAGCTTCCGTGGAGAGAGCAGCCGGCCGAAGAGAAGCAAGAAGCAAGTTTTGGTCAGTCCATAAACGTACATAGGCATTATAGTAGGAAGCCACGTCAAGGTCGCCTTGCTTGGGAAGACTAATCTCGTTTTCAATCTCGAAATGGCGAGCCGAATCCTTCATGATGTAGGTGGACGCAAGGTGTGCCCACATCTCAACAACTATGGAGAAGAGACGTAGCCCTAGAATAATGTTGGTGTCCACCGAACCCAGAATCCATGACTTAACACGTGCATTGTTCATGATCCACCGATCAAGCTCCTGCATCGTGGCTGGAGGAACAGATGACCTCTTCGCGGTTCCGTCAAGGATCGGAAGAAGTCCCTTACTTTCAATGAAGATGCGAAATTGAAATTTCCAAGCTGCATAATTCTTCGAATCCAGCCGGATACTGAGACGAATAGAATCGTCGAGATAATGAACTGAAAATAACAGAGACAACGGATTTACGTGGTATCCTTGATTATCTCAGGACTAATCCACGAGAGAGCTTTGATGCTTTCCAAGCTGATAATCGTATTAGACGGCATGTCTGCTTGAGTTACATGACCGACGAGAACCTCCCTTATATACATTCTAGGGCACGGGCCAAACCCTAGGAACCCTAACACATACGTAGCCCACCATACAAGACAAGGGCCAAAGATTACATGGGCCAAACTCAACACAATATATACACGACCCATGCAATATACGTGACCCATGCAGGCAAGGTTACTAACAGGATTACCCTATGCCCATCTCTTAGTTTGGCGAACCCAATATGACTCATTTCCTTTCATGACCGACCAGGTATCTTGTTCATTTCAGTTTTTTTATTAGCACATAGGGAACTAACTCACAACATTCTTGACACATCAGGGACCGACGTATCCTTCAATCTGAACATCTACAGAAAAATGCTCTTAGAAAAAAGGTAAACACATCAAACGCCTCATCAATATCTTTAGCCCTGTCTTGCGGCAATGCCTCTTTTCTAGAGGTGGCAATTGGATCGGATTCGTGGATTGGATTGGTGGATCCATGGATTTAATGGATTGGATCCAATGGATTGGTGGATTCATGGATTGGATCAAATGGATTGGTGGATTGATCCATGAATCCAAATGACATCCAAGGCTTGGACCAAAATGTAAAATTTGAAAAGTTTTGGTACTAAAATGTCATAATGAAAATTTTTAGGTACCAAAATGTAATTTTCCAATGATATTTTTCGTATAAAAATATAAATTTTAGGTACCAAAATGTAAAATATAAAAAATATAGGTACCAAATTATAATTTGCCATTTGGATCCATGGATTGATCCATGAATCCACCAACCCAATTGGATTTGGATCAAATGGATTGGATTTAAATGGATTGGATTAGGTGGATGAATTGGATTGGATTGGATTCATGGATTTGGATCTTAATTGCCACCTCTTACTCTTTTCCCTACGTTTTGTGTATATGAAATGTATGAAATTCATCACATTTGTATCGTGTTAACAGCTCAGCAGAACCATCATCTTCAGGGAAGTACAAAGTTGTCCTTGAATGAACTACGATTCCTGCTACGTACACCGTCAGTTCCCTATCTTGCATACTACGTTTCAAATTTTATTTCAAGTTCTTGACTAATTCATTTCCCCTTGCGTTATACAACTGTACGTCTTCAAAATTAATTTGAAAATCTTATTTATTTCCCTTGAATTCTACTCCTGTATAACGGTGAAACTTTGGATTGCCCCTAGGAACACTGAATCATCTTTCCAAAAGAAAATGGTGTCACAAGTTGATTACCTTGCTTACGACAAGAAATTAGGCATCACATCCAAAGCTAGCATTGATGTTGGCAGCTCTCACCAAAGAGAACTCAAAAGTCATAAGACACCTCTTCAAATATGCAGAGAAGAGCCCAGATCGTAATATGGTTCCTCAGTCCTACACTCCTACTTATTAAGGTTTGTAGTTGACTCGGGCGCTATTGATGATGAATTTGTATGCATTCCACCATTATATTTCTCTTAAACCAACGGTTTTATATATCAAACGTTCATTTTTTTTCCACACATTTGTTTTGCAGGCTTACAATACTACTACAGTCGAGATCATCTATCAATTTTCGATGACACTGAAAAAGGTATAGATGGTTTTACAATGCTTTATCCTTAGATATATAATTCCAATGGTGATATTTTAATTTAGTAGGTTAGCGGCTCAGCCAGCATCATCGTACGAAGCAACAGACTCCCGCATGACGAATATGATTGAGAAGAATTCAGGCTCTAGAGTTTGCGAACAGCATAGCCAACTCCAAAGGAAAGAAGCAATCATCAATGCAAATTAGGCCCGACAACCACATCTTCATTTATACAAACTACTAATCTGTTTATAGTGGAACTAAACACTAAACAGGATTACCAACAACTTCTACTCCTAAGTCGGCTTTTAAATGCATAGTCGCTCTTCCATGCATATAGCGCTAGCGAGACAAATGCATATATTCAATTTTGGCAAGGGTAGGGAACCCAGCCTTCAATTTTGAAATAATGTGTAGTCGCGAGACACATGCATATTATGCATTTATATTGTACTAGTAACTTTGTAAAAACACGTCCTTGCAAACCAGCGTGCCCGCTGAGGCACAGATATGCATACACGATATATGAAAGAGATTTAGTTACATAACCAGCACGGACATAACTCTCTTTTTCTCTCTGATCACAACCGATATATCAATCCATTCCATCGCCTGCAATTGCGCGCACAGCTAATTTCTAGTAAACTTAAATAGAACGCCTATCCGGACCGAGTTACATCCGCAAAGATGCTAGCGACTAGTATTGACAAATTAACATCTTTATATTAATTTTTCTGGTAATTTGATAATTCCATGAAGCCGACGCTAAACAAACAGACAAAAATACCAGGCCAACTCAAAAGTGAGAAGCAGCAATCGATTAAGGGCATCTGCAATTATTTCAAACCTCTTTAATTATTATTATTGATTAATTGAAACCTCATGTTTATTCCTCTCCTTATCCATCCTTTCCTTCATTCAAGTACGAAACGGTGCGCTTCATCCTCGCCGCGGCGTTCTCGCACGCCGGATCGAAGAGATGGAAGACGTGGTTTTCGCCCTTCGCCTCGTGGATCTCCGCCTTCCCGGGCCACCCGTTCTTCCCCAGCGTCTCGCAGTAAAGCCTCCCTCTGTCCTTCAGAGAGTCCTTCTCCGCCACCAGAACCAGCACCCGCCGGCAACCCAGACCCGACAGCTTCGGGTCGGCGGTAGCGTTTATCTCCGGGTCATCCAACCCGTTCTTCGAACCCGGATTCGCCAGCCGCCACAACCCGGAAGGCAGGGCCCGGCCCGCTTCATCCTTGGGCTCATCCCCGATCGGGTCTTCCCCCCAAAAATACGGATCCACAAGCACAAGGCCCAGCAGCTCAATCAGTTTCTCCTCCGCGTTCCTCATGGCGACGCGGTGGGCGATGTTGGCGCCGGCGCTGTCCCCGGCCACAAACACCCTCCCGAAATCGGCGCACGCGTTCAGCCACTCGTCTGGGCCGGATCCCCCGGCGTGGGCCGCGGCCCATTTGAGCGCGGCCCAGCAGTCGTCGTAGGCGCAAGGGAGCGGGTGCTCGGGGACCAGCCGGTAGTCGACGGAGACGGCGACGATTTGGGCTTCGGCGACCAAGGCGTTGAGGTGGGCGTGGTAGATCGGGGAGAAAGGGCTCTCGATGCAGAACCCGCCGCCGTGGATGTAGATTAGGAGGGGGAGCTTCTTCCCGGCGGAGATGGCGGAGGGCGGGGCGTAGAGGCGGGCGGAAAGGGTTGGCTGGGTTGAGTAGACGACGTCCTTGGAGACAACGCCGGAGGTGGGATCGTGGCCGGCGGGGAGGGTGGCGGTTCCCAGCAGGCGCTCGACGCGGCCGTCTTTGTAGATCCGGATCAGTGGGGAGAAGTCCTGAGCGATGTCGGTAGACATTGTTGGGGGAGGGATTGGGGTTTTGAAGTGAGTGTTGTCCATGGCGTGGGTTTTATTTATTTGTTATCTATTGCAGAGGGGGACTGGTAGGTATAGGTCACGAATGTTGTATGCACATGTGAGAGGAGATAATGTAGTGTGCAGCAGGGTTGGATCAGCTGATGACTCTTCCAGATTGTGTCCGATATATTGAAAAAGGAAAAGACGTATGTATATATCCTTTCTCGAAAGAAACAAGGAGATCAGCCATTGAGCTAGTAAACCCACCAAATTAGTTACAAACGTAGAATAGCTATTTGATTCATTTGTTTGGACAATTAAAGATGGAGCAAATAATTTGATATAAAATCTTATGAACTACACAAATTTGATTGTACCACTGGTTTCACTAATGTAATCAAGAAAAATGGAGAAACAAAATACTTTAAGGGGTCGTTTGGAGAATATGAGTTTAAATCTATAGATTGTCAACAATCTAAAGATTCAAACTCTTCGGATTGTTGAAAATAGATTTTAAAATGTTTATTGTTTGGTAACTGTGATTGTTAACATTCACAGAAAATAAAATTTACAAATTTATATTAAATAACATGTTTATCCTTAATAAGAAATTAGATATTGGTTCTAGAAATATTAAAAACTTTGTTGATAAATCAATAAAATGTAGAGAAAAAGTAGGAAAAAAAATCTCACGAATCAAGATATAGAATCTCTCTGATTATGAGAGATTTGATATCCATAGATTTTAGAGATCTGAAATCCCTAAAGCTAAAATCCTTATTACAAAAAGCAACAAAAAAACATGACTTTCTACAAAATCTACGGATTCAATAAATCCACGCTCTGAATCCTGTTCTCCAAACGACCCCTAAGCGTAAACCAAGACTATTCAACATAAATTATTAATTTTATTTGTGCTTCTTTTTCTTCATTTCTCAGCCTCCTTGGTGACTTTATGTGCTTCACTATGGATTAGCACCCTGATTATTAACTTGAATTACTAAAAAAATTATGATTTCTTTTGTGAGATTGTTTGAATGATTTGTTAGAATTTTTACCGACGAATGATATAAATATGAAATTTTTTATGGTTAAATTCTTGCATAAATTCTTGTATAATATATGTCTTCATGTTATAGCGCATGAGCGGTTCAGTTTTAAATTAATGTATTAGATATTTTCTTTTATGTTATAGCGCATGAACATTTCTATCAACGACTAACCAATGGTTTTATAATGACTAACTGCTGAACCATAAATCACTAATTTTTTCTATACAACTTCCGATCATGAAAACATAGCATATATCGGCTACTAAGTAATGTCATGAGCTAGGTTTTCCTCAATGCCGATGGGCCACGTCCACTAGGGATGTTCAAACGGTTACACTAGTAATTACAAAACCAATTAATTCTAAATTCGCTTAATCATGAAATACAATATCATAACCAAACCGATCAATTCACGATTTATATAATGAATAAAACATAGCTATCAACACATAGTTAATCATTAATATAAATGCATGCAAGTAATACAATTATCTTAGAGTTAGGACTTAGAAATAACTACTTAACAAAAACACATGTGAATGATATAAGCTAAATGAATTGGGTGTGTCTATGTGAATTGTCTTGGTCACTTTGCAATTATTAGAGTGTGAAAAAGTCATTCCCTTTCAGGTTTTCATCCACCATGGTGTATGAGTTTTATAGAAATTAGGTGCTCATATGTTGTCTACAATATTATAAGTATAGGAACAATAATATCTTTATTTTGTTGAATTACTGGTTGTACTATGACACTATCGGGATCCATACATTATGTAGCTTTAATATTTAAGGGTTAGATCACCCCATGCGCTCTGTTTATTATCCCAAAAAATAATATCTTTATTTTCTGGATGGGTCCAAAAGGGAGTAACGCTTGACTCTTTAGTGGTTATGCAAAGTATAAGTATGTAATATATTATATATATGACTAATTGCTTAATTGATGAATTGATTTGACTGGTTACCAGTGTTTGAAACCAAATCAAACCAGCTAAATCAAACGATTTAAAAAGCTAATCAAACCATTTATTCAAATGAATCAAATTCAATTATCCAAAAACTCTATAATCACTCTGTTTAAACACATACAATCCATGACGGACCAACAAAATCGGGCCTAGCGTTACTTGTAGGGAACGCCGCCCAATAGCTTGATTACGGTGACTTGGATGCAAATTTGTGAATTAATTCTTTCATTTGAGTCGGAAAATAACTTTGTTTTCATAACCAAACCGGAAGGTGAATAGAAAAACCTAGTGGTTCATGGTTCAGCGGTTAACCGTTATAGAACCGTTGGTTAATCGTTTATAGAACCGCTCAGACATAGAAAGTAGAAAGCCAGTAAGTTACACATAAACAATAGGAAGATAAAATTAGGATTTGCTATAAAAAATAGAAAGCCACTAATTCAAAACTGAAATTCCATAAACCATAAAATTAGGATTTGCTATAGCCTGTAGTTAGGGCTGATAATCGGTTGGCGTTTAATCGGTTAAACTGAAAATCATGGTTATCAACCTAACCGACAACCGATAACTTTGCCTCGGTGTCGATGTCGGTGGGCTGATTCTGGGCTTTATGCTAACCGGCGGTTGCCGGTTTATAACCGATATTGAACTCGGTGCACCGCTGCATCGACACTCTCTCCCTTTCCATCTCAAGCCTCCAGCAGACCTTGTCTCCCACCAGGCCACCACCACTGCCCTCCGCATCCCCAATTGCTCCCGTCCGACTTCACCGCCCCTTCTCTCCGAGCACTCCTCCTTCTCTGTTGGCGATTTGCACTCCTCCTCCCATTTTGAGTTTCGAATCTTTGCCGAGCAAATCCCAATTGAAAGAGCGGAGTTGGGGTGACGAGCGGACGACGGATAGAGGGAGTAGGGATGAGGAAGGATTTGGCCAGCAAACCTCTCTCTTCGCACTCGCCGCTCGCTGTTGTCTACCACTCTACCTCAATTGCGGCCCCATCCATCCAGATTCAGTAATTGAAGGTAACTGCTGCGGTGAAGATCAAGCCTCGGTCGCTGTCGATGTCCCCTTTTGCGCCTTGCATGTTCTCTCTGGTCGCCGCCAGGCCTTCTTCCTCGGTCGCCGTCCCCTGCTTTGCTTGAACCCTAGAAGACCCTCGTCGTCTCGATCCACGACGGATTTGGCAGCGGAAGGAGTCGGCGGAAGAAGGGTTTAGCAGCAGAAGGATTTGGCAGCTCCTCGGGTCTCCTTCAACGGCTGAAACTCTGCCTGCCCTGAAGCTGAATTGGTCTTCGTCCCCTCAAATCACCCCCTGCATGGGTCTTCAGCTAACCGCGACACTGACCCGAAACCGTCGACGGCGGTTTTTGGCTAACCGACAAGTCAATCGGTGGCGGTGGAGGTTTTTGGATGATTTTTGGCTGCGGTTAACCGCATTTGCAGTTCGGTTAAAACCGAAACCGCACCGTTAATAGCCCTACCTTTAGTATAGCTGCGTAGGAATCGAAGAAATAGAAGAAGTCAGAATCATAAAGGAGATGCAGCGTACAGAGCCAAGAAGAGAGTAGAATATAAATATTAGGGTTTGCATTGGACTCGATACGTATGAATTCACTTTATTATTTATTATTTTTATTTATTTTTAATGATGAAAGTAGCATACCGCTGGACCATTCATGTCGATCCGGTTCTGTGGGTTCTTTGTCAGAACGACTAAAACCGCGCGGCACAACTATGACAGCCTAAGTGCATGTGCCGGACCGCTAATGACACTGGTGAACGGTTTTTCCGGTCCAATTCACCGGTCCGGTCCGGTTCTTACAATAAGAAAAAATAACTCAAGTTATATATATAAAAAGATAATAAACTAAAATTTCTTATTTACTTATGATGGTATTAACTCCAAAAAAAGTTTTAATTAATCTAGATACTAATATCGATCTTACCAAAAGAATCGAGATCAATTCATGAACCAGCTTTGTAGGTGTCTGCCAAGTTTGTTTCTTGAATTATTATACTTACCGGTGGCAAGTAAAAAAAATATGAACAAGGGAAAAAATCTAAACTTTACGATGAGAAAATTTGGACTAGCGATGGGCTAAAGTCTTATAAACTATTATATTTTTCAAATTTATAACAAAATTTTTATATAATTTTACATAATTTTGAGAATTGAGAGTGTCATAGCTTTCTATAATATCACGGCCATGGCTCTGCTACAGTTACCCCATACTGCCATAGTCTCTTTCATGAGTTATTTTTTGTTCATAGCATCTAAAATTATATTATATACTAGAAACTGAAGGGCGTGCTTTGCAGCGACCCATGTCATTAATTACTTACAATAGGATGGAGTAAAATAAATAAATAAAGATTAATCAACGACTTTATGCCCGCAACACATATAATTTTTTTTTCCGTTTGTCTCTCTCTATCGTGGTCCACTGGTCTCGAGTTGTCAAAATGGTTTATACCATTATGTCGGTTTAGCAATTGAAATTGTACCATCAATGATACTATTGATTTGTGTCGGTTCAACAAAATAAGTTGAAATTTGAAAATTCATTAACATAAAATGAATTTAATTATATAAAAAAATTGAAGATAGTTTACGTACAACTTATATTCAAATTTAAATAAAATACTATATTTAAAATAAAAATAAAAAATACTCATATTTACATATGATATTTAACATGAACATCTTATTTATATAATACTAGGTGGCGATGTCGCAACTTGTCGCGGGGCGGAGATGGCCTATGGGCATGTATTATATGGCTCGTTATGGTGTTTTGTTAGTATTATTAACCTAAAATTAATTTGTCGTTAGTAACATTGACTTGACAATATATCATTGAATGAGAAGAGATATATGGCTGTCAACATCCAACTTAAATTTTTTTGACAATTTTTGTTAATAAATGATATTTACCTAAACCCAAGTAGACTCATTGATTTTGGGTAGGGTATGAGTGACGTATATATGGGTTTGTAAGTTTGTAGATGGGTTTGAGTAGCATATGAATATTTACTTCCATAATCTAAATGTGTATGAGTTGGGTATGAATACTCATTTATTCGAGAGTGTTTTAATTACACATACAAAAATTGGACCTATTTACAAAACTTAAAAAAGTTAAGGTATCAAAATGTAATATACAAAAAATTTAGGTACTAAAATATAATGATCCATCAATATTTTGAGGACTTATATAGTTGTATGCCCAAAAAATAAATTTTGGTTACAAATCTAAAGATCTAGTAAGTTTAGGTACCGAACAGTAATTTGCATAGTTGAGGCTATTTGGTGATAAAAAAAGCATCCGTTTTTTTTATCTGTAAGAGATTTTATAAAATGGGCGATGTATTAAGATGATAATTATTTACTTTTTTATAGAAAAATGGAAACTATTTATTTGATATATGTGTAGATATCTAACCTAAAATTCCATGTATAATTGTTGAAAATTCTAGCCTGAGTAAAAAAGAAAAACTCTAGAGAGGAGCAAAAGGAATACAAACTGAACTCGTTTAAAATTTCACGCATTCAAATCCCATTGTGAAATTGACGACTTTCTAATAAGTAATAACCATATATATTTATTTTGAATATGACTCAACATTGAGCTGAAAAAGTTAGTGGTTCATGCTTCAATTATTAATTCTCTATACTGTTGTGAGTCGTGTATGAACTCGTTCATATTTATGATTAGAATACATAAAAATAGTATACTAATTAGGGTTAGCAAAGAAAGAAATAAAGAAAGGGTTATGTAAGGCGAGTGAAAAATGAAACGAAGAGTAAGTAGATGATAAAAAGGTTTTAACCAAATCTTTTAGTTGGTCGTCAATACAACAGTCAACCCTTTTCACCATAACAATTTATTGACACTTGCTTATATAGATCTGACATATTTTTGTTACATGTAGTTAGTAGAAGTTTGTTTAGTACCCCGTAAATATACTAAATGAGTTTATTAATTTGCTCCTGCAATATTTTAGAGTCGTATCTCTTTTATCATTTATTTAATGTTTCACGTAATGAGCAAATATAAAATGGTCGAATCTTCTCCTATAGTTGAGTGATACAACATCTTGTATGGTACAAACTAAATTTATACTTTTTATGTTATGGTGGATTGGATTCATGGATTCAAGTAAAATCTAAACATTGGACCAATTTACATTAAAATTAAATTTGAGGTATCAAAATGTAAAATGCACATTATAGTGACTAATTTGTAATTTGTTACACAGTTACTTATTTGTAATTTGTTCGGCAACAGTGACCAAACTTCAGTTTATATATATAATAATTAACTAGGTGGCGATGTCGCGCCTTGTCGCCGGCGGAGATGGCCTATGGGCATGTATTATGTCGTCGATTATGGCCTTTTGTTACTATTATTAGCCTAAAATTATTTTTTTAGCAGTTTTGTTAGTAATATTGACTTCGTAATATGATATTGACTGAGAAAAGATATATGGCGGTCAACATCTAATTTAAATTTTTTTGAAAATTTGGCTAATAAATGATATTTACCTAAACCCAAATAGACCCACTGATTATGGTTATTATATGTATGACGTATATATGGGTATGGAAGTTGGGTTTGGGTAGCGTATGGACATTTATTTTCATAATCTAAACGTGTATGAGTTGGGTATGGATACCCGTTTATTCTAGGGTGTGTATACTTCAAAAGTTTATGTACCAAAATGTAATACCCAAAATTTGAGATACTAAAATGCAATGTTCCATCAATATTTTGAGGACTTATATGCCAAAAATATTAATTTAGGTTATAAATCTAAAGATCTATTAAGTTTAGGTGCCGAACTATAATTTGCATAGTTGAGGCTTAATTCCTTTTATGGTGATGTATTTAAGATGATAATTATTTACTTTTTATAGAAAATAGGAAAATATTTATTTGATATGTATAATTGTTGAAAAATTCATGTATAATTGTTGAAAATTCTAGCTCGGTTGAAAAAGAAAAAATCTAGGGAGAAGAAAGGAATACAAACTAGAACTCGCTTAAAATTTCACACCTTCAAATCTCAAAGTGGAAAATGATGACTTTCTAATAAGTAGTACCATATATATTTATTTTTAATTGAATTCGACATTGAGCTGAAAAATTTAGTGGTTCATGGTTCAATTATTAGTTTTTCAGACTGTTGGTTAGTCGTGTACGAACCCGTTCATACTTGTGATTAGAATACATAAAAATAGTATACTAATTAGGATTAGACGGATAAGGCAAAGAAAGAAATAAAGAAAAGATTATGGAAGGCGAGTGAAAAATGTAACGAAGAGGAAGTATTTGATGGAAAGGTTTTGAGAAATTCTTTTATTTGGCCGTCAATATAACAGTCAACTCTTTTCACCGTAGCAATTTATTCACACTTGCTTATGTAGATTTCGCATATTTTGTTACATGTAGTTAGTATAATTTTTTTTAGTACCCTGCAAATGTACTAAATGAGTTTATAAATCCGCTCTTGCAATATTTTATAGTCGTCTCTCTTTTATCATTTATTTAATGTTTTTTGTAATGAGAAAATATAAAATGGTCATATATTCTACTACAGTTGAGTTATACAACATATTGTATGATACAAACTAAATTTATACTTTTATTTTATGGTGGATTGGATTCATGGATTGGTTCAACAGGATTGGTGGATCCGGATTCATGGATTCCAGTGAAATTTAAACATTGGACCAATATATAAATTTAAAAAATTATACATACGAAAATCTCATAAAATTTAGATACCAAAACATAATTGTTCAATAATTTTACACTGTAATTAAATTTAGGGTATAAAAAATATAAAATGTACATTCTAGTGAATAAGTTGTGATTTAATTAAATGTGGGGTATCAAAATGATATTTTTTTAGGCAACAGTTGAGTGATACAACATATTGTATGATACAAACTAAATTTATACTTGTGGATTGGATTCATGGATTGGTTCAATAGAATTGGTGGATCCGGGTTCATGGATTCAAGTGAAATCTAAACATTGGACCAATATGTAAATTTAAAAAATTGTACATATGAAAATCTCATAAATTTAGATGCCAAAACATAATTGTTCAATAATTTTACACTAAAATTAAATTTAGGGTATCAAAATGTAAAATGTACATTCTAATGACTAATTAAGTTGTGATTTAATTAAATTTGCAGTATCAAAATGATATTTCATTTTTTTAGGCAACAGTAACTAAGTTTCAACTTTATATATAATAATAATAGCCCACATTTCTTGGGTGTTTTCTTATGGATTAGAGCGCTCTCATAGAGCATTTCACTCTTTCTCTCTCTAACACAGTAGAATAGCGCATTGTTGATTTGTGAAGATTTTATTGTACAATATAGATATGTGTTTTCTTGTGGTAGGTCAAGATGGAGTTGGTAATGTTTTTGACATTTAGACCAAGATGGAGGAGAATGATGTTGAAAATCCACTTTTCCTCTCTACTTATTATTACTTGTGGTGACTAAATGGAACGACTATTTTTTTTAGACATATCTTGATGAGTTTAAAAATAAAAAAAATCATATCATAGGAAAAGAAATACATTAATTAAAAGATAAGAAAAGTTGAAAGTAAGAATTGTAAAATCGTATTCGACGGCGTATCAAATAAGTTAGTAGTATAGTATTTTGTTGTTAATGTGTGAACTAATCATTTTGTATCAATAAAAATTTACTTCATCTAGAACTTTAATAATCCAATTTTTTAATTGATATGATCAATACGATGTGATTTAACAAGGTTAAAAGCCGGCATCATATATCCAAACAGACAAAGCAAGATTAGAGAAGACTTGTGATCCAACATAATGCATTATTGAAAAGGGACAAAGAGCGAGTAACATCCAACAGCCAACCAGTCGCTGATGCTAAACCACAATCAACACTGTGATGACTTCAATTATTTATGAAGGAGCAAATCTTGTTGATCAAAACGGCAGCGTTTTCACAACCAGCATTCCACAAGTGGAAGACATGCTGCTCGCCTTCAGTCTCTACCATCTCAACCTCTCCTTTCCACTCGCTCCCCTTCAGCAAATCGAAATAGTGCTTCCCTCTCTCCCTCAAGAAATCCTTCTCCGCCAACATCACAAGCACCTTCGAGCAACCAAGCCGGGCCAGGTCCGGGTCAAAAGCCGGGTTCAAATATGGGTCGTCCAGCCCTGCTGTTGAACTCGGGCAAACCAGCTTCCAGAACCGCTCCCCCCAATCGGGCACCGGAACCGGCTCATTCCCGACCGGTTCCTTCCCAGCGAAATATGGGTGGACCATAACCAACCCGCCCAGCCGCGGGACCCCCTCCACCTTTTCGCGCCCGTACCTAATTGCCACCTGGTGGACTATGTTAGCCCCTGCACTGTCCCCTGCCAGAAACACGGAGTTAAAATCCGCGTGATCATTGAGCCACTGCTCTGGGCCGCCTCCTTCAAAATGAGAGGCGGCCCATTTGAGGGCGGCCCACGAGTCCTCGTACGCAATTGGTACGGGGTGCTCGGGGGCTCTCCTGTAGTCCACAGAAACCGCTATCATGTTGACCGCCTCGACCAAGGTGTTGAGGTGGTTGTGGTAGGTGGGGGAGAAGGCCGTCTCGATGACGAAGCCACCGCCGTGGTAGTAGATCAAGAGAGGGAGCTTCTGGCCCGGTTTGGTTTGCTTGGGGAGGTAGAGCCGGGCGACGAGATCGGGGTCGTGGGAGTAAGGGACGTCTTTGGATTGGACGGCGGTTTTGGGGTCGTCTAAAGAGGCTGGCACGGTTTGGGTGCCCATGAGGCGCTCCACGACGCCATCTCTGTAGATGCGGAGGAAAGGAGGGAAATCGTGAGCGATTTCAAGCTTGGTCGATGTGGTTGAAGAAGAATCGGCGGCCATATCGGATTGAATTTTGTGAATGTTGTATTGTGATTTGATGAGAAGCCTTTTGGGTAGTGATGATTATATAAAGAAATGCGTGTATGCCGGTTTGGTTTGATAGTGCTTGGCTTGGGATGGCATTTCCGTTTCTCTCCAGTGATTATATAAAGAAATGAGCTGCCGTGGTGGAGACACGTTGAATAAAGAAAAAGGGTCGAGATTGGCTAGTTTTTGTTGCGTGCGTAGAAGTTGCCAGTAGACATGGGTGTCAACGTCTAGCTCGACACCGCAGTGAATGGAAATGATTTTCGTGTCAGTATATTAAATTGTAGTTTTAAAGGGAATAGGACAAAGGCCTAGAGAAATGGTAGGTCGGAGAGCCTTGACAAGAGTGTGGAATCTAAGTCGGAATTGGCAAAGGAAGCCCAGTCGACAGAAGCAAAGCGCTCAGGCAAGCGATCCAGCAACACCTACTTCTTCTACCAGGCGACGGTAAAAGATGCTAGGCTAGTAGACTAGCACTTTATGGCGTTGCATGGGTGTTGTAAAATATCGGACTGCTCAATTAGTACGATATTGTCCGCTTTGGGTCAAGTCCGCACAGTTTTACTTTTGAGTATCCTCCATAAAAGGTCTCGTACTAATTGGGCTAGGGGAACTCTAATATACAAGGGTTTCTTCCCTTTTATTTCCGATGTGGTACTTGGATTGTCTCATAACAATCCTCCCCTCAAGACAAGGACCACGAACATCGTGTCCTCACCTCAGCGATTATATTGATTCGCCAGACACCTTGTATCAATAGGCATCTCGTTCACCGTCCTGACCGAACCAGACTCTATTACCACTTGTCAAACAGGCAGCTCAATTAGTACGATATTGTCCGCTTTGGGTCAAGCCCGCACGGTTTTACTCTTGGGTTTATTCCCTTTTATTTCCGATGGGGTACTTGGATTGTCTCATAACAATCCTCCCCTCAAGACAAGGACAACGAACATCGTGTCCTCACCTCAGCGATTATCTTGATTCGCCAGACACCTTGTATCAATAGGCCTCTCGTTCACTGTCCTGACCGAACCAGACTCTGATACCACTTGTCAAACCCGCACGGTTTTACTCTTGGCTGTCCTCCCCAAAAGGCCTCGTACGAATTGGGCTAGGTGGACTCTAATATACAAGGGTTCATTCCCTTGTATTTCTGATGTGACACTTGGATTGTCTCATAACAGGTGTATTGAACTTATACCAAATCTTTTAATGAAAAAAAAGGTAAAATACACTTGTATAGCCATACTTTCACATTCGTGACAAATATAGCCATAATTATCCAAAAACACAAAATAGCCAAAAAATTGGATAGTCGTGTGACAAATTCAGCCATTTCCGTTAGAAACTTTAACGGTGTTAGAAACTCCGTTAGTTAGGTTAACACGTGAGCGACAACTCAACAACACTTGCCACGCAAGTGCCATGTCATATTTTAATTTAAAAATAAATTAGTTAATTAATTAATTATTAATTTATAAAACTTGAAAATATTATTTTTATTTTTGCCTTTTCAATTTCCAGTCTCCTCTCCATCTCTCATCATCTTCTTCGTCTTCCCCATCTTTTGTTCTCCGACCTAGCCAAGAAGAGGAAGAGTTTCTCTCTGCCCTTACGAATCGAATCTCCTCTTTCCCCTTCACCGACCGAGATCGAAGGAGCTGTTTGTTCAGAGGAGGAGAAGGAGTCGGCTATTGCGAGAAGTCAACTCCTCTCTCTCTCTCTCTCTCTCTCTCTCTCTCTCTCTCACTCACTCACTATTTGTCTTTCTGTCGACGGGTTTTGGGGGCGGAAAAGTGGAGAAGGGAGTTTTGCGTCCGAATTATGGAAACGAGGGGAAGGGATAATAGAAGATGAGTTTGGAGAGAGCGACAGCGGCGGGGACGGCGGTGAGGGGATACGGGAGCGTGGAGAGCGAGTACATTCATAACTTCGTCGCCCCCTGTTTTCTCTGGTCTCTGCTGTCAACCGCGGAGTGAGGGGAAGGGACGAGGGATTCAATCTGGGTTTGAGATTGAAATTGAATCTTACGGTGAGAAAACGGAGAGGTTGTGGCGTGGGGTAAGGGACAAGGGTTTCTTTGGTTGTAGGCTGAAGAAGAGGAGGAAGTAGAACTCCATCGGTGGGTATGGGTTTGCAGGCGGAGATCCTCGAGATAGTTGATGGTGATGTCTGGATTTGAAGGTTGCAGCGGTGAGGACCGACTGGCGACGACAACGACGGCGGTTGATGGAAGATAAAGGGATTAGTGGGACTAGGGATGCTCTTCCTCTAATAAGAATATGTGTGCTTCTGAAATAATAAGAAAAGGCAGAATTGAATTGGTGATTTTTGGTTCTATTGGATTTCTGAATTTAGGGAGGTGTTGGTTGCACATTAGGGGTCGTTTGGATGCAGGATTCCCCTGCGATTGCTGCTTCTTCCGGTTTAAAATGGAGAGAAGGAACATATCTAAAATGTGGAGAGAAGGAAGGAGAGAAATAACAGTTGTTGTGGCATGTGAGGAAGACGCCCAATGACTTTTGTTTTGTGAGTTTTTTTTTTCTTTTAATGAATTAAGCGCCAGCGTTCTGGGTAAGTTTTTTTGGTATGTGGCTAACCGAGCCTAAAACTGAAACCGACCGGTCGGTTGGCCGATTAACCACATCTCCCTCACGGTCGGTTGCCGGAAGCCCTTGAGGGTGGCTCGGTTTAACCGATAACAAACTTTCAAGTGATGTCACCAAAAAATTAAATGAGATTGACAAGACGTGAAATCAAAGAAGATTTATTTCATGTTAGGGTCACTATACTGTTTATAATACTACACATTTCCAATTTACTTCATTTTGATGTCGTTGATGGCAAAGCAATAAAAAAATGTTCAATAGAAATTTTGCTGTAATTTCTGATGACATGGGGTAAATAAAACTATTGTTTTCTAAAGTTCTATAAGAGTTCATTTCATTGCCTAAGTTTTTTTTTTTTTTTACTTTTCTTAGGGACTCTCATAAATGAATCGATTAGAATGTTGGAAACCTTTGCATGTAGTCCAGATTTTATTTTGTGATTATTAAATAATTTGGATTTTACTTTGTAATACCAAAAATATTGTATGTTACTTTACACCATTGCTTTTGTTGATTATGTTTTTGACAGAAATGTATCCGGCCAACGAGCGGACCCGAATCCAGTTGAATTAAAGAAGAGAGCCGAGATTGGATTGGCTACTTTTTGTTGGGTGTGTAGTAGTTGCTACTTGCTAGTAGGTTTGGACTTGGTGTCAACTTCAAAGTCGACAGAAGCAAAGCGACCCAATTCACTTTCTGTAACATTGAGCGACAAAACCGATACCCAAAAGAATATTTTACGGACTGATACCGTCAGGCAGCGAGCAAGTCTTAGCTAGCTAGCATAACCATGTCTAAGATCACCACCACATCAAGAGTGCCGTCCAACTTGACTATTCCATCCGTCCCATCCACACCAATCAGCCGATTATCTTTACCTCGCCCGCCGCCACCATTTCCAACTGGCTGTCACTGTCTCACCACTCCCTGAACACCAGCTCTATCCTGCACATTCCGCGCATAGGTGTTCTCATTCCAAATTGATAAGGTGTGGCTGCAGCCAAACATACATGAACGCAAACATATACGCATGTCTAAACACACATTTAAGGGAGCCATGGTATAAATTAAGGAGTACATTCACCAAGTATATATAGCTACCTACTTACCATTAGCACCTCTCATGGGAGATGTACAATGGAGTCCGAGAAGGATGCATGGGGGTCTCACTTCCGACGCCATATCGACTAGAATCACTGACAAAAACAAGTCAGCATGATTCAATACTCGAGAGAAGAAAGGCCACTAACGATTCAAGTAAAAGCATGCCAGCATTTTCACCGGTATGGGGCTGCATCCGCCACATTGTTAGAGATATCATTCCGATCAACTGCACAAGAACAATATCCACAAAGGTGAAACACTAGTTTCTATATACAAAAAAAAAGAACAGGGGAAAAAAAAAAGAGGCAATCCCAATTGCAACATGATACTACTTGCCTGTGACCACCTTCATTTGAGCCTCTAACTCAACTCTCACTGATTGACCCTTCATTCCCTTTACTCGCCCACGCTCTCCCTTGAAAGGACCCCGTCGTATTTTGATTGTCCTACCTATCAACCCACCTTGTCCTCCCCTTCTGCCTCCATTCCTTCCAATAGATAAGTAAGACAATGATTAAAACAACAACAACAACAACAACAACAAAAAATATCCATCAACGAAAACTGCTTACTGCAGCGCCACAGGATCATGAAGCTCATAATCTCCAATTTTGGTAACACCACCACTAGCCACCTCCGAGCACTCAACCACATCCCCAGCAAATACATGAATCTATACAAAGAAGAGACAGACAGAGTTTCTCAACAATAATCAAAGACATTAGCAGGGGCGCCACATGTTGATCAAGGAACTAAGAGAGAAACTTACATGTTCCTTTGTTGTATCCGACACAATAATGACCACATGTTGATCAACCTTGACAACCATACCCGTTGCACCTTCTCGAGTTCCAGACACAACCTTAACATGATTGCCCGGTTCAAAATACTTGCCGAGGTCCTTCTCATGCACTCTAAGTGTTCTCTACAATAAAAATAATAAGTTAATTAGCTAGTCCTCAACAAATTAAAAATGATAATTTGGTCAGTTTAGGGATAGGTCAGCTTTTGACCCTGTGATCGTTAGCAACAACAAATATCCTATACCATATTGGACCTCTTTGTAAAAAAATTCAAAGTTTAGGTACTAAATAAAAAAATAAAAAAAATTGGGTACCAAAATGTAATTTTACCATCAAAATTTAAGGACTTATTTGTAAAAAAAAAATTTAGCTACTAAATTGTAAGAAAAAATAATTTTGGGTACCAAAATATAATTTGTAAAATAGTAGTGTGTAAATTAGGGTCTGACCCACTAAACCTACCCGTCCCGACTCGTCTCATCTCTTGAAAATCAAACAGGGTAAAAAAGGATACAGGAACGGGACGGGACAATTATACGTCTTGACCCTTCAGGAGCGGGACAGAGAGACGGATCATGACAATTTTCAGCCCTACTCCCAAGAATAAAGCCTACTTAGATAAAAACACAGCCTTGCCATATTTAACTTACAGGTAGGCCCTTCGCTTCAGGTCTGATATGTACACTATCTGCCTCAACTTTCTCAACCCGTCCCTTAAGGTTCTTTAAATCACCTTTGAGAACAATGACTGCGTCCCCCTTCAAATATTGTTCTTTCTTCCGGTTTCCAGATAAGGCTGGCAAGCTGATCCTACCATCATCACAGTGTTCTCCGGGTTTACCGAACTTTTCAAGTTCATCGAAAGATGGCCTGATGTTTGCAGCAGTAATGCATTTCATGGCAACACTTTTGTACAGGAAACCATCACTGAACAATTTGCCATCCATCTTATCAAAGTAGTCGCCGGTCAACGGATCTCTTTTCCGCTCCACGTGAATATTAAGTTGCCTAACAAAAGGGTTATGAGATAAGAAGCATGCAGACAGAGTTTCCTTGATGGCAATTGGCAACGACACCAGTTTCAGTAATTACCTAGCCTCGTTGATATTCATAAAGCGAGGATGAGGAGCAATTGCCTTCCTGGATTCCCCGGCTTCTCGTCCTTCCTGTTCAAGAAATATTTACTCGTAACTATGCTAAGCACACAATTTAATCACACTAATTACACAATCCAAAGCAAACTGCAGTATCCACAATACTTATCAAGGCACAGTTTGTCTAGGAAGAAACATCTCTTCTCAAACTAGAGCTGGCTATTTGGTCCGGACTGTTTGGTTTTACCCGAAACCGGACCGTATAACCCGGACCGGGACCGGATAGCAAACAATCCAATATCATATTCGGGCTTAGATTTGAGGTAAAAAAACCCGGATAAGAGACCCCCAACACCTAAAATCAAGATAAAATTAGGACCGGACCGGGTTAAGACTTGACCGGATCAAGACCGGACTGTATCCAATCCAATCCAATCTTTGGTCCTTATATTCGCGAAAAGACCGGATTGGGACCGGATCAATTTGGTCCAATTTAACCGGACCGGACCGTATAGCCACCCCTATCTCAAACTAAGGAAGATAACATGATTACAAAATTTAATCAAAGAACAATTGGTAATTCATCCAAGAATAGCCAAAAAAGATATACTTAAGCCAGTAAATACATGGAGGAAATTCTGTACCAGTCTAGTAGCAATAGCCTGCATGTCAATTCTGGGAATCACCTTCACTGTGACTTTCCGTCGCACATTATCCACGTCAACTACCTGAAGAAGTGGGGAAATAAAAGGTTATTTGAGGAATCCACAAAAAAAAAGAAGGCCTGAGTGAAGTTACAACACATAGTACTTTGGCCAAGTCCCCTTTGTAAATTCCTGTCTTGATTCTGACCCAAGCATCCCTCGCAAGATCAACTTCTTTGCTTTCAACAGAAAGGACGTCTGTCATTTCTTTGATTGGGACAAGCTGGGGTTTCTGAGAAAAATATACATTCCGAAGCCCTTTGCATGCCTGAAACATACAATACACAGAAGCAGAAAAATGCATATTTTTAAACAAAAAGGATCAATTCATGTGCCCAAAATCATCCAAATGGAGTAAGAACTTGATAAATGGGTAATATCATTGCAATACCTCTCTCACATGTGATTCTTTATGTGCTTCAACATATATATAATTCTCCAGGTGATCACGGGCAATAACAGATGTGATTTGCAACTGATCAGGACCTCTATCAATGGACTTCTGCATTAGGCAGACAGCCATCTCTCGCTCACGTCCAGCCTAATATATAGCAGAACTCCTTACTGTTATGGAAAAAACAAAAGACAGAACAATCAGACAAATAGCACAGAAGAACATAAAAGCATACCACACATTTCACCCTCCAAAACTTTGCGTCGTGTACACAAGGCAAGAGACCCTGTTGGCCTGTCCCTTTTGCCTCTTCATCACTTTCACGTTGAGATGCTCTCGAATATCTTTCCTCGAGTCTTCTGACGATTTCGTGCTCGTCTTCTGGCTCGTGCAATGGCCTCTGGTGAACCCGTCTGCCATCATCTTCCTCGGGTAGTTCCAGTCCACCATAATCAATAAAGTCTGCATAAGTTGAGAATGTACTATCAACAATCCTGTATATTTTACGCATATATATTTTTATGCTACGAGCCTCCACCAATCTTATTCACACCAATTGTAATGGTAATTTCACCAAATCACAAGTATGCTCGACTATTCACCGAAGCGACAAGATTAGAGAAATTGTAGACCGACGCAAAGTTCATCATCCAACCCCTAATTCAACAGAGCCTAAAATTCTAACATTCCAAACAACCAGAAAAAAAAAAACACTAAAATAGCGAGAAAATAAAATTCGCACCAACCCTATGAGAAACCCTAGCACATGCTTACCATCTCCTCCATCGGCTTCGTCATCTTCATCTTCATCTTCGTCGCCATCCTCAACGGCCTGAGTTTCAAAGAAGCACTCACCCTTCTTTCTAGAATTTCGCCTTTTGCTCCGACTACCACCACCTCCATAGTCCTCATCATCATCGTCTTCCTCGTTGTCCTCCACCGCGGCGTCGTCAATGAAACTAGATCGCGATCGCTTTCTGGTAGAGTTTCCTCGCTTCGTCATATATTCATAATACTCTTCTTCTCCATCGTCAATCAGTTGGTCATCTTCCTCCTCGTATTCTCCATCTTGAATCTCGTCGGGTTCTTCGACTCTTCTCCGCCGCATAGCTTTGCCGGTACACAACTTCCTCTTTCTGGCAAAAATTTCGCTTCCCCTCTGCAAAAACTTCCTTGCTAGCGCCAACAGCACTCTGCTGCTGCGGTTGAAGAATCCTCGATTGTGGGATCATCGCGTCGATGGAAGGCGGCATTTATACCCTGCGTGTGAGCTGAAGTCAGGGCTGCAGGCTGACATGAATCCGAATCGGAGAAGGAGAAGGACACACAGCGGGAAAGTCTGATCATTTGAATAAATAAAGGAACCAAAACTGGGACGTTTGGTTTAGGAGTCTAGCGGATAGGTTTCGTGGTATTGTTTCAGTATAGTCCTTGATGTTTTTGTTTAGAGTCATTTGAGTCCAGTTCAGGGTTTGAATTAGTTGCAGGTCGTTAGGATAAACAGCTGATTAGTAGGGCTGTTAGTTGAGTCATGGGGCACGAATCAAGGGACTAGGGGTTAGTGGAGATGTATGGTGGCCGATGTCAAAGGCTAGGTCATTGTATTTAACCTTCTTTAATTAAGATCAATAAGACTTTGTCAGTTTGCCCCATAAGAATTTACATTGTGGTATCAGAGCTCTGCAAACTGTAACCTGAGATTGAGCGCTGTGTGAAACGTTCCGCAGATCAGGGTAGGGAACACATGAGTGATCAAGGGAGAATCATAACCTGGGTGTAGAGTGAAAGCTCAATAGAGTTTGAGCAGAGAGATTCTATAGAGATTGAGTGACAATGGAGGTTTTGCTGCTGTGGGCATACCCAAGTTCGATGGTGACTATGACCACTGGAGCTTGATGATGGAGAACCTCTTGAGATCAAAAGAATACTGAGGATTTGTTAGTGAAGGATTTACATAAGCTTTGCCTACTGAGGTTTTGTCTGTTGTACAAACCAAAAGCTTGGAAGACCTCAGGCTGAAGGATCTGAAAGCCAAAATTACCTTTTCAGCTCCATTGATCAAGCCATCCTCAAAACCATCACCAACAAGCGGACTGCCAAAGAACTATGGGATGCCATGAAAACCAAGTATCAGGGGGGTGCAAGGGTTCAGAAGGCACAACTGCAAGCCTCGAGGAGAAGTTTTGAACTGCTCAAAATGAAGGAAGGTGACTATAACTGATTATTTTGCATATAGTTGAGAAAATATGGAGACAATTTGGAGACAACTTGACAGATGTGCATATAGTTGAGAAAATTCTCAAAACACTAACTGAGAAATTCAAATATGTGGTATGTTCTATAGAAGAATCCAAAGATATAGAAACCCTGTCTGTTGATGCTCTACTGAGTTCTCTAGTTGTTCATGAACAAAAATTCTAAAAGAAGAGTGGAACTGAGGAAGAGCAGGCTCTTAGGATGAACTTTGAATCTGGAGGTAGAGGAGGTAGAGGTTCATGACGTGGAGGTTCTTATCATAGACGAGGAAGATGAAGAGACTGGAACAAGGCAAATGTGCAGTGTTTCAGGTGTCCTAGATTGGGACACTTCCGGTATGAGTGTCCATATTGGCACAACATTGGTCAAGCTAACTACACCAACACAGATCAAGGCCAAAGCAGCACTGAAGTATACATGAAGGAGGATGTGCTTCTCATGGCTCATGTGGAGGCTGTGAAGACTGAAAGTCCAAGAAACACAAAAGCAATCTGGTGGTTTGTTGACTCAGGTTATAGTAATCATATGACAGGGAACAGGAATTGGTTCACTGATCTTGACACTAACTACAAGGGATGTGTCAGATTGGGAAATGATACAAAACTAGATGCTGTGGGAAATAGGACGGTGACGCTAACTATGGATCAGTTCACTCTCACCATTAAAGATGTGTTCTATGTACCAGGGCTCAATACTAACCTAATGAGTGTAGGTCAGCTGCAAGAGAAGAACCTGATCTTTGTCATTCAAGATGGTGGCTTCAAGGTGTATCACAAAGGGAAGGAATTACTGCTGGAGACTACACTGAAGTCAAATCGCATGTATGTGATACATGCCAATCCAGCAGTTGAAGAAAACAACCATCTGATGCAGTGCTTGCAGACAGGAACCAACAGTGAGACCTCATTGGAGTTGTGGCATAGAAGATTTGACCATTGAACTCGGTTGCCATCCTTCAGCTGCAGAAGAAGAACTTGGTTCAGGACTTGCCAACTCTGCAAGGAACTATTGGAGTCTGCTCCACCTGCATGATTGGCAAACAACATCGAAATCCATTTCCAAAGAAGAGCAGCAGGAGAGCTACACAGAAACTGCAGTTGGTCCATGCTGATCTGTGTGGGCCAATCACCCCAACTTCAAATGGAGGTAAAAGATACATATTTACCTTCACTGACAATTACAGTAGAAAATTGTGGGTCTATTTCTTGAATGCCAAGTCTGAAACCTTAGAGCAATTTAAGAAATTCAAAGTACAAGTTGAGAAAGAAACTGGTTTGTCACTTATCTGTCTGAGAACAGATAGGGGAGGGGAGTTTATGCTTTAGGAGTTTAGAGATTTATGTGAAAAGGAAGGAATCAGAAGGCAGTTGACAACAACTCTTACTCCTCAGCAGAATGGAGTTGCTGAGAGAAAAAAATAAAACAACAATGAATATGGTCAGATGTATGCTTGAAGATAGAAGGGTACCTCCTGAATTCTGGCCTGAGGCAGTGGCTTGGACTTCTCATGTATTAAACAGAAGTACAACAGCTGCAAATGCAAAAAAGACACCTCAGGAGCTGTGGACAGGTGCTCCTCCATCTGTTTCACACTTCAAGGTGTTTGGATGTGCAACATATGTGCACTCCTCACAAAGAAGAAAACTGGACAACAAGAGCATTTTGTGCTATTTTCTGGGATTATCAGTGGAGTCCAAAGCCTATAAAATCTATAATCCTCTACTAAGAAGGTGGTGATAAGCAGGGATGTGGTGTTTGATGAGTCAAAATGTTGGGACTGGAAGTCTGAGGTGCCACCTGCACCAACTAAACTAAGCTGGGAAGGAAGTGAAGATGAACTGTATGAATCAGATGATGGGGATGACACTGCTGAAGAATATTCAGCAACCCCAGATGATCAAGAGCAACAAAGAATCTCGAGTCCTGCTCCAATCACACCTCAAACTTGAAATCAGACTAAGACAGAAGGGGAGGACTCAGATCCTGAATCTCCAACAGATAGTTTGGGCTGCCTACCTCATGTCTTGGTTCTAGGGTGAGAAAACCTCCTGCTCGGTTAGCAATATATGATTTCTCACACTACACTGATGTAGACTGGTGGGCCATGGTAGTCACTACCACTGATCCATTAACCTATGAGGAAGCTTCTGAAGATGAGAAGTGGAATGCGGTAATGAGAGAAGAAATGAACTCCATTGAAAAGAATCAGACCTGGACTCTAACCACACTGCCTCCAAATGTCACTCCAATTGGTTTGAAATGGATCTACAAGACCAAACTAAAGGAAGACAGCTGCATTGATAAGTTCAAGGCAAGCCTAGTTGCTAAGGGGGTACTCACAAAAGGCTTGGATTGATTACAACGAAGTTTTTGCTCTAGTTTCAAGGTGGAACACAATAAGAACACTCTTGGCCCTGTCAACACATCATGGACTCACTGTTTATCAGCTGGATGTCAAGACTCAAGAGTGCATTTCTCTATGGCACACTTACAGAAGATGTGTATGTTGAGCAACCACAGGGATTTGTGATTCCTGGGGAGGAAGATAAAGTCTACAAACTGAATAAAGCATTGTATGGCTTAAAACAAGCTCCCAGGGCTTGGTATAGCAGGATTGAGTCCTATTTTCTAAGTGCAGGATTTGAGAGAAGCACATATGAACATACTTTGTTCATACAGAGGAAAGAAGGAAAGATCCTACTGGTCAGTTTGTATGTAGGTGATATAATCTACACCAGCAACTGTGAGGACATGATTACTCAGTTCAAGAATTCAATGAAGCAGGAATTTGAAATGACTAATCTTGGTCGAATGAAATACTTCCTGGGAGTGGAGATCAATCAATCTGAAGAAGGAATCTTCATCTCTCAACAGAAGTATACAAAAGAAATGCGGGAGAAGTTCAATATGCTGGAGTGTAATCATGTCAGGAGTCCAATTGCCACTATAATGAAGTTGACAAAGGAAGGAGATGGAGTTTCTGCAAATCCATCAGAATACAAGCAATTGATTGTTAGTCTACTTTATGCCACTGCAACTCGACCTGACATTATGTTTTCAGTTTGCCTACTGAGTCGATTCATGGAGCAACCAACAAGGCAACACATGTTAGCTGCTAAAAGAATACTCAGATACCTTAAAGGCACACTGGGATATGGTACCAAAAGGGCCACGATGAAGGCTGTCTAGTAGGGTATACTGAAAGTGATTATGCTGGGGTTTTGGATGATCGAAAGAGCACCAGTGGATATGCTTTCTTCTTGGTTGGAGGAGTAGTTTCTTGGGCCTCCAAGAAGCAACCAATGGTTACTCTCTCAACCATAGAAGCAAAGTTTGTGGATGCTTCTTATACTGCTGCTCAATGTGTCTGGTTGAGAAGAATCCCGGAGCAGGTGGGTTGGGAAAGCAGTGTTAAGAAGGCTACAAGAGTATACTGTGATAATAGCTCCACCATAAAGCTAGCCAAGAATCCTATTCTTCATGGCAGAAGCAAGCATATAGATGTACGCTTCCATTTTCTCAAAGACCTGGTCAAGGATGAAGTGATTGAAATGATGCACTGTGGTTCTGGGGAGCAAGCAACTGACATACTACCTAAAGCCCTCAAGTTAGAGACCTTCGAGTTTCTAAGAGCCAAGTTGGGGTGATTGAATTTGCAGCAAGAGATGGTACCAGGAAGAGCAAGGATGAAGTGAACTGAAGCGTGAAGACTGGCTTCAGTTCAAGGGAGGATATGTGAGCTGAAGTCATGGCTGCAGGCTGACTTGAATTCGAATATGAGAAGGAGAAGGATTAGAGTCACACAGCGGGAAAGTTTGATAATTTGAATAAAGGAATAAAAAATGTGTTGTT